CACTCGACATTTTTTCTTATGTCTTTAGACATAAGACGTCTATTAGACGTCTAGTGTCTAAAGACATCTAAAGACATCTAATAGACGTCTTAAAGATGTCTTTTAGACATGCATATTCTCTGGGTATTGTCTAACCAGTGCTATGATTCCTTCGTCACTCTAATTATTAGTCATATGTCACCTCAGGAAGAAGGAGATATAAGAATTAAAAATAGTACATATATCCATTTTTAATCTGGATGTAGAACAAACTTAAAGTAAATTGTTAATTAATAAATTATTTCTTTCATATATATGTACTTGATATATTATACTATTTTTATTTTTATTTTTTTGATATAACGACAAATCGTGAGACTACGTTCACATAATTTCTCTCTCACTATATCACTGTCCGTCATCCCACTCATTCATCTCGTGTTTATTCATGATAATTTCGCCTCTAACACACATCGGTCCACTTCATTCGATCGCTAATTCCCTGATAAATGTAGAACTAATTTTTTTAAAAGTTATCGATTTCCATATTCCTTTTATATAGTACATTCTCTGCTCTCCCAAAGTGCATTTTGTGACCTATATATGTGTGTGTGTGCTAGTAGCAATGTTTTCTTCAGGCCATATAAATATTAAAGAGAACTGTTTGCTTTTACCATCTTATTTTACGTATCTAGATTCAAAATGTGTGCAAAAACGAGATTGAATACAATACTTATTCGCATACGTGCATTGTGTACTTTTAATTTTAGCAATAACCAGCAATAGCAATAAATTATCATTAAAATACACGTAATATTGATGTAAAGAACCTATTGAAAGCCATTGAACAAATGAGTTATTTCATATATTTTCTTAAAAGTATCATCTAGTAAATCTTAATAGGTTTCAGTCACTTATAATATTATTATTACCGATGGGATGTTGAGAGATCTAGTTGAGAGAGAAATATTAAAATTTGTTTTTTAATTTTATCTCTAGTATTTACTGCGGATAGTAATAGCGCCTAGGGCATTCCATATATCCATCAAACATTCCAAGAAAGCAACTTTGAAAATTGTTTTTCGAAGAAATTGGAAAAGCTCCAAAGTGAATTTTCCGCCCATCGCACTGATATTGGGAGAAGCACGCAAGAGCCAATGAAAATTCCAAAATTGATATGTCAATTTAATTGAATAACTATAATGATCGTTATGAGAGAAACCGTGCGCAATATTTTATTTTCACTTTGGTCATAAATGAATGCCTCCATTGTGAAACTTTCTCTAAACAAAAAAAAAATTCTAATCTCCCGCAATCAAATTCTGTATTTGCGCTATGACGTACGTCATGAAGTTCGCAACGAGTTTTTATATTTTATTTATAAATGTTATTAATTGCAATTATACAGGGTGTCCTGAAATTCGCGAATCAAAATACCATAGCAAGAAAGTCGTCGAAAAAATAAATTAAAAAGTTATTTGCCACTTTTCGTTCCGAGCAGAATTTTTTTTAGATAAAAAGGTTCAAAACAGGCCAATCATACATTACGGTTGAACGGAAACTTGTCCGTGAGTCGCGCGTCGATAGTGTTAATGCACTAACACTATCGACGCGCGACTCACGGACAAGTTTCCGTTCAACCGTAATGT